TTTTGTCTTTTCTGTAAAGTGGAATCATAGAAACTTAGAAGCTAAGCAGGGGAGGAGAATATAATTGATGCTATTGGCTATAAGAAGCTACTGAATGAACAAGTGAGTGAAAGCTACTGTGGGAAATACCAAAGAAGATCTTATTTTTAAATATCAAAACCAGATGCAAGTACATGAAATAATTTAACATAAAAGTGGATAGTTATGTTAGGGCTAGACATGAAATGAGGCTCGAAAAGATAAAAGTCATTTTAGATTCTGGTCTTGAGTATCTAGTGATTAGTGTCAAGGGAAGGGTACTTATGTTTCATGTTGCGGGAGAGAGAGAAGGAGGAGGAGAGAGAGAGGAAGAGAAAATGAGATTGTTAGGATAATTAGGAGATAAATTTTAGATCTAGTTAGAATAAAGTGGCATTGGTAGCAGCAAGGAGTGAGGAGGATTACACTATTGGACTTTACCTCTTCTAAGGATGTTGAAGAAGTTAGATAAATATAGAAGTTAGATATAACATGGGAGTGATGCCTTATGACTTTTGTAGTCTCAGAGTAGGAGACCCAGAGGCTTATACCAGACCCATTGGTATAAGCCAGTGGGCTTAAGATTTTGGTGGAGAAATATCTGGGTTTAGTCGAATATTATGAAAGAAAAATGACTAGGGTGATCAACAGTGTTAGTGGTATTTCTTAGTTGGTAGTAGGGTTGGCATTGAAATTCAGGTCCTCAAAAGTGGGCACGAGGTTGTACAGGACTGAATAGAATGGGAAGGCATAAATTGTGGGAAAAGAACCCAGAAGTTTTATTTTTGTATTTGAAAATTCTGGTCTGTTGGTTTTATCAATAATGTCATATGTTTTGACAGTCTAGCAAGTCAGTTTCTTCAAATACTGCACATCTGTTGATGCCTGCTTTGGTGAATCATACTTTGGTTTTAGGTGTAAAGTAGCACTGAGACTTTGGTTTTCTTTTAAAGGTAGTTCTGAAGAAAAGGGTAGGGCTTCCTTGGTGGGGCAGGGGTTAGTCACAGCACTTATCAAGCTACCACCAGCAACTGCAGCAAGAGTTTGATCCCCAGCCAGAGAGCTAACCTAGTTGTCTCAGCAGACCTCCTGACTCTCCTGCTCCCCTCAGCAGCGTATTTCAGTAGCTCCTCCTGCTCTGCTCCCCACTTTGGTGAGTCCTCTCACCCTCTCACACCTCTCCATGCCCTTTTCTTGTATGCATAAATAAATATGTAAAAATGAATCTTTTTTTTTTTTGGTCATGCTTAAGGAATTTTTGTAGTTTTTTTTTTTTTTTTTTTTTTTAAGATTTATTTACTTGTGCATACAGAACTGGGGCACAGGCCAGAGGCTCAGGGGCAGCGAGAGGCTTCACCAGAGACAGAGTGGGGAGCAGAACAGGCAGATCAACGAAATACACTGCTGAGGGGAGCAGCGGGCGGGTCAGGAGAGGTCTGCCATGCCATGTGGTCACCTCCAGGGCGGCGGGAATCGAACTCATGCGTAAGTGGCTCCAGATGCTCAGTGCTGTGCTTTAACCTGCTGCGCTACCAGGGAGGGCCTTTTGTAGCATTTTTTAAGCCAAAGAAGACTTCAGTTCCCCTGCCTTTCAACTTGTTATTTTCAGCTGTCTTGTTATCTTATCCATATCTTTATGTCTTGGGATTTTCAGATATCTTTTTTAAGTTACTTAGGCTAGACCATATAACAGGAAAAAGGGTTTTAATTATCCTATCCTGTACTCAGCTACATTGGTATTTAATTTTGATTGCTAAACAAAGGTCTTGATAATGAAGAATTCAGAAAATTTATTTTTTTGAATTCTCTCTTTGAAATAATTAGTGGAGGATATACTTTAGTAATCGTAGTGGCTCTAAATACATATCTATACTAGCCTTTCTCTCCATGTCAAAAATAAATAAGAAAATAAAATGTTGCTTTTCTGCCCTGGAAGGTGGACATTTCATAGCACATTTGAGGGTGAGGGTTGGAAAAGGCACAGCTATTACCTAGATGTTTGTAAAGTTGAAGGGGTACGTATATTAAACAACTTATTGGTAATTATCCTGCCTTGTATAGAAATAAACTTTCTAATCTACTGGGGAGAGAAATGGAAGGATTAAGGGGATCTATCAATATAACCATAGATAGCAAAAGGTGGGGAGAAAGTAACAGAAGAGTACAGCTAAAAAAGATAATAAGATAAGTTAAATTAAAAAAAGGGAAAAATTGAACTCTTTTTAGGACAAACATTTAATCATGTGTTAATGGTGTGAAATCTGGAATCTTTATATTAAGCCTTTTTCCTTTGGGGAGATTATATATTATATTTGATAATGCTGGTACTTCTACAGTCAATTTTCATATATGTAGAAATAACTATAAAAGGATCAGATACATGTTATTAATGTTTTTCACTGTTTGCACATTAAAAGCTCTCCCTTGGTTGTAAATAGATGTTAATTGCAGAACTTACTTGTGAATCTGTCTTACACTTAACTGGATATGTTTACTGAAAAGTGTTTCTCTGATTTATATCAGAGAAAATGATTTATATCAGATTTATGTCAGATGATTTATATCTGATTTAAATCAAAGAAAATGCATGCTGCATTTTCATGGCTTATTTGCATTTAGTAAGCTGATAGGAATGTTTGAACCACTCATTTGTGAGTATTCCCACTCATTTGTGAGTATTCCTGCAAAATAGGACAACACAGTTAAACAGCTGCTTAGTTTGGTATTTCTCTTATATCTGACCCAAGTAACTACTTGGGTCAGTAGTTAGTAATACTTAGTAACTACGTGTTTATTTCAGTAAGCATCACTTCAGAGATGGTAGTATGTCTCTATTCCAAAGCTACGTAAAGGTGATTTCACTGTTTTGTAATGTTCCAAAGATGCCAAAGAAGGCATAAGAATGGTTACTAGTACTGTTCTATAATCTGATAGAATTACTGGCTAAGTATAATGTTATTGTGCCAAGGTTCACCTTGATTTGTGATTCTTACACTGCCTACATACCAGGAATTTATGAAGATTTCCAATTTTTCTTTTATATTGCCAGCCTGACATTCTTGTTTTATTTTCCTCCTGAACCCCTTCTATTCATCTGTCTTCCATTTATACATCATTAATCTGTAAGATGTCCATAATTGGCCCTTCCTGGTGGCGCAGCGGGTTAAAGCACTGCACTAAGAAGCTGAAACCACTTCCTCATGAGTTCGATTCCCGCCTGCCCGGGAGGTGACCACATGGCGTGGCAGACCTCTCCTGACCCGCCCACTGCTCCCCTCAGCAGTGTACTTTGTCGATCTGCCTGTTCTGCTCCCCACTCTGTCTCTGGTGAAGCCTCTCGCCACCCCTGAGCTTCTGGCCTGTACCCCAGTTCTGTATGTACAAATAAATCTTTAAAAAAAAAAAAATGTCCATAATCGTGGTTAGTTGTGCTTTTAAAAAATAACCATTAGCATATTGCACTTCCCAGATTATTATCTTTTTTTTTTTTTTAACAATCTTGTAAATAGTAGAAATTTACTTGTAACAGTTCTGAAGACTGGAAATTGGAGATCAGAGTGTCAACACGGTAGGGTGAAGACCTGTATGGCAGATTGTCACTGTGTCCTTACATGATGGAAGGACCAAGGATTTTTAATGTTTTACACAGCCTCTTGACTTGAACGTTCCTTAAAGATTCCTGTGTTTTCAAAGACAGATTGAAAATGTAGCTGTTAGGAGTGGATGACTAAGTATCATCAATTCTTAGGAGAATCAAAACTACTAATTAGTGGTCTTAAAATCTCAGTCTATTATCTTAAAACAAGCAGTTCTTCATATTTTGAGAACTGAGATCTAAAGATGGGATAATATTGTGAACATCTTAATGTTTCTTGTAGTATTTTTGTATTTATTAAGTAATTAGCTTCTTGCCTTATATATGGCAGTGGCCTAAAACCATGTTTCCTTTTATAACCACATACTTGGTGCTGATTTGTTGGAGAGGCCAGGAAAATACTGGCTAAGATGAACTGTCAAAAGTGTTAAGCTTAAAGGTGAGGAAATTTCCATTGTTTGATTGTTGTGTTCTTTTGTGGAAGTTAACTTTTAGTATTTTGTGGTTTTGTGCTATTTTATAAACTGAGGGAAAGCCAATTGTGATGGCTAAATATCCCTTTTTTATCCCCCAGTTTTTTATTGATTTTTGAAATTCAGCTTTAAAAAGTTTTTGGTGCTTTTCTGTTTCTTAACTGTGGAAATGAAATTGATCTGTTTTATTTTGCTAAGCCTTATAATTATCTTTTATCAGACACCTTTTTTTTCCTTTAAGAGTATTCTGTATGATTGTAATCTCTATAAAATCATAAGGTTTGGGCCCTTCCTGGTGACGTAACGGGTTAGAGCGCAGCACTATGAGGCTGTCCACAGCCACTGCATCCTGAGTTGAATCCCCAGCCAGGGAGGTGACCACATGACGGGGTAGGCCTTTCCTGCCTCACCCACTGCTGCCCTCAGCAGTAAATTTTAGTGAATTTTAATGTACCTGCCTGTTTTGCACCTCACTCTGTCTCTGGTGAATCCTCTCACCCCCCCACATCTCTGGACTTGTACCCCAGTTCTTGTATGCATAAATAGATGAATCTTTTTTAAAAAATCCTAAGTTTTGGGTGTGCATCATTGAAAACAAATGTGTGTATAAAACCCTATGAAGTTGACCAGTAAAAGTCCAGGTCTATCCTTTACAATATAGTTGTTCGCTGAAGTCATTTTAAATTTTTTTTTCTTGTACATTTTTAGTTTATACCTTTATATTCTTGACTGTTATTTTTCAGTTGTCCACTAGTAAATTTTAAAGTCACTATTGATTTGCACAAATGCACACATAAGTAAACGCTCTGGGAGCACCTACGTGTAGGTTTAGCAAAGTATTAAACACGTGGTGACTTTTTGTCACAATGGACTTTTTATTTTATTCTAAATTTGGCCTTTTTTTTTTTTAACAGATAAGTGTAAAGCAGGAAATCACTTTTACTGATGTATCTGAGCAACTGATAAGAGACAAAAAGCAAATCAGAGAACCAGTAGACTTACAGAAAAAGAAGAAACGGAAACAACGTTCTCCTGCAAAAGTAAGAGACTATTAAGATGGTGATCCCTGACATCTTAATTGCAAAAATATTTGTTAATCTTATGGTTAATCTCTGGCTGAGAGATTGGCACACATAAAAGTTTCACAGGGTTTTTTTAGTAAGTTAGCATGCTGTGGTTAGCCTTTTCAAAAGAGAAGGAATACATGCTTGCATAGGAGTGGTGGACCATTGCCTTAAGTTTTTTCACTTCTCTTTCATTGTGTGCCTTTTTTCAGAGTAAACTTTTCTCATGTTAATCTCTTTAAAAAAAAAAAGATGGCATGCAGTGTCTTTGCTTCTCATACATACTAATTTTGCTTATTTTAATATTAAGGCTTCAGGAAAAATCAGTATCAGTTATTCATCAGGAATCAAGTTGTAGGGTACCTGTAAGCTAGATTATAAGATCCATAAGGAGATGAATCTCATTTTCTTCACGACTGTATCCTGAGATCCTGGCATAGTAGGTAGTATAGGCTTTTAGTAAACTCTTGATGTGTGAGTGACTAAATTAGTAAGTGGACAAGGTGATCCAGAATAATGTTGTTAGGCTTTGCCTGCCCTTCTCTGCAATGTTTTCACTGGCCCCATTTTTTCAGTACTTTCTTTCTGCAGTACAATAGTAGTTGACTGTGGATAGCATTCTAGAAATTGAATATTTACATTTTTATGGTTCATTTTCATATTTTCTTCCGTCATATAATGGCTTTTTAAAATTATATCTAAAATATAAAAAGTTGATATTATAACATGACCTTTTAATTTTGATGGCTGCTTTTTCCACGTTTGTGATTTAAATCATAATCATCTCCATTATTTGTGTGTTTTGCTTACTTTTGGACCCAGTGGTTTGCTGGAGTCAGCTGTACTTGCTTGCCAAAACTGACTGCCATATTTTCAGAAATTTTACTTTGGTTGCATAAACTCAGCCATGGTGAGAATATTTATTCTATAGAAATAATAGGTACTTCTCAGCCTCCCTGACACTTTAACTGGTTGTTAATCGTTTATCAGAATATCAGTGCTTTAAAATACATATGTAAGTAAGTCTACTATAGGAAATTTTGAAAACTATGGAGACTAAAATAACCTACTCATATTTCCTGAAGTTAACTAGCTTAGTTTTCTGCCATTTTCTTCCCTTTCTATTAAATTTGTATATATGGATGGATTGACTTAACACTTAAAAAAACAAGTGTTTTTTCTTTTTAACACTTAAAAATGTATAGAAGCTTTTCTACATTTCAAATTACTGATTTTTATAAAGATTTTATTAGTTCTGTAATGCATTTTTGATATTACATTATAGTCACTGGTTGCTATGCTGTTGAAAAGTTGTATTTTGCCTTCATTTGAAATCATTCTGTACTTAAAATGTTTGCCTATAGATCTTTGTGTACTTTTTCAAGTTTTCTTGATAATGCTATTCTTCAGTAATGTGTACTAGTTACCTTCTTACCTCCAGTAGACCTAAGGCTTGTCTCTCCATGCTCTTAGTAGCCCTGAGTATGACTGCTTTTATTGACTTGAAATGGGCATCTCATTATAGTTAATCAAATTTATAATAAAAGGACATTTTAATTTCTTTAGTTACTGGTTTTATACATACACATATATACATGTATGTATATGTTTATAAGTATATACATGTAGGTACTAAACTGTTGGTCATAAATGGTGGTATTCTATATTTCATGTTTTTTTTAAACCCCTTCCTCCCTTCCTTGTTAACTTGGAGTTAGTGTTTTTTTCCCAGTGATTGATTTATAGGATACCTTTTTTTATATATATATTTTTTCACATGTAGAAAAATGCCAGGTTTTGAGGAAAAAGTTAATTTTTAAAACTTCTATATTGATTATGTTACTTTGGGTTCACTGCTGGCATAGGGGAGTCATTAAAAAAAGTGTGTGTGTATGTTTAACAAATTCTACATTTTCCTTACTATTATTATTGTCCTGATACTTTAGAGTAGTGTATTGTGAAATTCCGACCAAAGCCTTTATTATCATCTTCTTGTAAGGCGTTATATGGAATTTTAGTGATATGTTATAGGTATTTCTAAGACATAAGATTTTAAGTTTGTAAGGTATTTCCTTTTTTAATTAGAGATAGTTAAAATTCAGTTTTATTAATTTATAAGGGTATTTATATATCTGTGTTGCTAGGTGAAATATTTGGTCTATTTAAATATTTTGTATATAAGAAAAATTTTTAGTAATATAATAATTTATTTTTACATCATTTTGTGAAATGAAAAAAAATTTTGAGATTTATCTGTTTATGCTTTACAGAACAGGGGTACAGGCCAGAGGTGTTGTGGGTGAGAGAATTTACCAGAGACAATGGGGAGCAGAACAGGCAGATTGACTTAAGAATACTGCTGAGGGGAGCAGTGGGCAGGTCAGAAGAGGTCTGCCACACCATGTGGGTCAGCTCCCTGGCGGGGATTGAACTCGTGCTGCAGTGGCTTGGAGAGCTTCATAATGGGGTGCTTTCACCCTTTGCACCACCAGGAAGAGCCCAAGAAAATGTTTTTTAAGAGTAGTTTTTGCAGGGAATTCATGGTGATAGAAATAATATATGGACCCTCCTGGTGGCTCAAGGGGTTAAATCTCAGTATTTTGTAGCTATCAGCAGCCACTGTAGCACAAGTTTGATTCCCAGCCAGGGTGGAGACCTATGTGGCACAGCAGACCTCTTCTGTCTCACCTGCTGCTCCCCTTAGCAGTGTATTTCAGTAGATCCTCCTGCTCTTACCCCTACTCTGTCTTTGGTGAATTCTCTTACCCCCTCTCTCCCCCCACCTCTGGATTTCACCCAACTCTGGTATGCATTAATAGAAACAATATATGACAGACAGGGGTGTGAGAATAACCAAAAAATTTATTTTTGAATTGTGCTAATGTATTACCTGCATTGGGACAAAGAATAGCTTTGGACTGTTTTTAACACTAGTTTGTAGTCTCTGGATGAATGATTTTTGTCTTTAGAGTCATAAAACTTTGGGCTTAGCCAATGAGTTCTTTTATATATTTTGGACATATTTAAAAATTCCCATTTCAGATTTTTCATTAGAGTAACTCATTCTGCCTTTTGTTTGAGGAGAATAAGAAAAACTTCTCATGTTTATAAATAATTGTTTTACTTGTTTTCAATTCCATAAAAGCAATTTGTTCCTCAAAGAATTATAAATTGCTGTAGTAAATAATAAATTCTTTAGTACCTTTTCCAAATCTTGAATTTTATCACTGTGAATAATTTGGCTGTCATATTAGACTGGGGATTTGTACAATAAATGTAGCTAAAGTAATGTGATAGACTTTTGGTAAAAGTATCATGCCTTTTACAGCTATATAAATGTGGCTTCCTTCAAGATAAACTTTATAGTGAGAAGCTCCATAATATCATATTACCTTTAGTTGCCATGGTTCTTAAATTTGATACTTGAAAATATTGCCAAAATATCTACCACCACCACCAAAAAAAAAAAAAAAATTGCCAAAATACATTTGGCAACATGTCTGAAGAATAGGAAAATCAGGCCAGGACATGTTATTTAGGTCAAATTATTTGATAATAAGCTATTTTTATGAAAGTAGATTTTCTACATAATAAAAGCCTCTCTCTTTTCAAATGCCAGTTTCTTTTTAATTTACATCACCTTGATGGGAATCTTTGAAGTGATGTTTTTTCCCTTTTCAAATTAGAATACATTTGAACAGGATAGAGCTTTTATTTTCTTGGGATTGGTGATATAAAGAATTTTTAAAGGGCATACATGTTATAATGAAGCTTTCTGAGAGGACAGATGCCTTGGGCTTCCTTTCTCCACTACTGCTAAAGCTTTTTAAGAATTTTTGACTGGTTATATATATCTGCTTTGCTGTCCCACGTGTTCCTGACATGCTGTTCATTTTTTACATTGCTCCACTGGTGTGACCACTTAATAGCACTTTCCACTTAATAGCACTTTCCACTTAATAGCACTTTCCATTGCCCTTTTTAATCTTTGTTTTGTTTTGTTTTAGAGTAGGACTGCAGAAATTTAAGATTATTAGAAAAGAGTGAAAAGTCTTAATAAACTCAATTCAGTTCAGTCTCACTGCCCTCCTGAATGATTCTCCCTCCTGGTTCTGATTAGAGTCACCTTTATATCTTCCAGTTGTAAATATCCAGGCCCCATCCCTGGAAATCATAATCAGGAGGTTTTCATTTATATTTTAGAGTACATTGTAATTGTAGTATATATTTAAGCTTGAGAATCACCTATCTTGATATTAGAAGTTTGTGAATAAATGAGGTATTAACCACCTGACTTTGTTGTTGACTTCTTATGCGCGTTAGGAGATAACTTTTTCTACCACAGAAAGATTTTAGGAGGATTCTTGAGTTAACATTCTTCTTTTTTGTAATGAGTCCTTTATATATATACACATATTAGCTTAATTAAGTATGGCATACATTTTATAAGTTTTTTTCAAACTTTAATAATTGAATGAGGCAAAGTCAGAATATAATTACTTCTCATTCTGAAATTTGTTTCCTTCATTATTCTTTTAGCAAATTAATTTATGTACATATTGTGTGCTGGGGTCTTTTATCAGGTGCTGAAGAAAGGAATTGGGTTTGCTTGTTATATAACACTTTAGTTGGTCTGAGTTGAAATTGATTATTCAGAATTACAGATTGAATTGAGGAAGGAAGACATTCCATAAATCAAATAGATTATAAGTTACAGAAATTTCTCTCCTACCAATTTATTATACACTGTTGATTCGCAGGTATAATTTACAGTGAATGTCATAAAATGAAGAAAGATTAATTAAAAGGCACAGAAAAATAGACATACCAGGCATTTGTCATGTTATGTTATGTCCTGCATGTTAACTTCTCTGAAAGAAGTTGCTTTGAAAGTGAAGAACTGATTATCAGAGCAGGGATGGACATATTGAATAGTACTTGAAGGAAAAACAAAGAAAAAAATTAGTGAAGTACTTTATTAGTATTTTATCTATATTTCCCAGGGAGTTATCAGTGAGCACTAACTTTTAAAAAGTATTTTGAAATAAATCTTTTAAAAATATCACATACTTCTTTGCCTAGTATTTAGGAAACAGAAAGTATGTAGTTATTTCTAAAACTCAAGTTAACTGATGCCAAACATCAGTTAATAGATCATATTTATGATACAGTGGAATTCACATTCTGAAGTTACAATTTAAAAATGAAACTAATAATATGTAAAATCTACTATAGAGCAGCAGAAATCTCAGAGAACAAAAGGAAGTGACAATATGAAGATGGGCTGTTAGAAAGAAGATGGTAGAGATGTGATGGTTATTGCTTTAAACAACTTTGTTATTTTGTTATATGTATATGGGATTGTATTGTTCTTCCTTTTGGATTTGGAGAGGAGAGAGAATTTTGAAAGAACTCACTCCTGATTCCCAGTTGTGATAAAACAGCTCTTAATAGGTGAAAAATCAAACTAACATCTCTAAGTTGTCTTTTAGGTTTTGGTGGTTTAGAAACTAATTTAGGAATGAATGCTAAAACCTGTAGTTGTTAGTTTAAAAATCCTTAAATGATTTCAGTAGTAAATACATAGTATACATAATGTATTTTAGGGAAAATCATGGCTGTCTTTTAAAGAGAGCAAGTTTCTTATAGGAGGTTACCAGATTTCATTTATTCAATAGCTGTGACCTTTAAGGAATAAACAATCATTAATTTAACAGATAGGGCTTATTGCTTTGCTTGAGTAAAATTAGCACACTATTTAAAGTAAATATTACCATATATAAGGGTAGCTAACTGGAAACAGATGTAACTAGGAACAAAAAAATATATCTAATAATGGACCATGAAATTAAAAAAGCACCTTGAGGAACTCCTTTGGTATTGAAGTTTTTTTTTTAACTGAAAACTACTGTTTTAAATTTACCGGTCAGTTAGGAGAAAAATCAAGTATGTTGAGTATTATTTTGACTATTAATAATTCCTGATAAAGCCCAATTATCTAGTTTCTATATTATAAATTTCTCCAAAAATTGCAGTGACAGGATGCTAGGTAAAACATTTGGAGACATAAAAGCAGCCACTTTAGAATTTAAACTTCAAAATTTCCAACTCTTCAGTTATAATCATATTCATATGTTGAAAGGAAAGAAAAACTTTTATGAAACCGATGTAGTAGCAATTAAAATGCCTAATACCTAATGCAAATACACTTACTTCTATAGGAGATTTTATAAGGGTGTGAATAAGAAAAGCCAAGTCTATACCAAGGAAGTAAAGTTTGCCTTTAATAATGTGACATTTCTGTTAGTAAGGGACTTTGTTCTTTGGATACCCATCCTTCTATAGCACTACTTTGCAAGTTTGAAAACTACCACTCTGGGCAAAAATTTTTTAAAAGCATAAAGTGATATGCTGTGAGGATGCTTGGTGTGGATGATAGGCAGCCAACCCAGTCAATAAACATTTATTATCATATTATGCCCCAGACTCCATTTTGGACACTGAGGTTATAAGGGGAAATAAAACAGACAAAAGCAGGTGTTTATTTTGAAAGCAGATTACAAATTGAGTTAATGAGCCGCTTGTATTCGACTGAGGCAAGATGCATTTTACTGTTTTAAAAATAAAGTTAGTTATTACTCTGGACTATAAGGAAAAGAAAAAATTGTCTTAGAAGAATTAACGTTTTTCTGTTTTTGAACTTCTAAATATGCCAGTTTTTCAGCCTGCTATTCACAGGCAGTGTTAGTTGTTTCATCCAGAAATCCACCTTGTATTAAGGCTTGAGTTCCCAAAGAAAGGCATAACCTCTGCTGCAGGGAAACAATGATCTAGCACTCCCTTACTCTTCATAAAAGGGCTTTGTACAGTAAAGAATTACATCCGTTACACATTAAGTAATTTGGGCCGGATTTGCTCCTTACAAAGCCTTTCCTTGCAGTTGCTATGCCAGAGAAATCCATTTAGCTTCCATGTTCTTTGGCACTTCGATCTTGCTTGTTATCACCATATGTGAAAAAAAAATACCTGGTGCTTTGATTATATAAAATGTTTAAAATCTTTTTATGATTTGCTTCATGTTAGAGATATTTTGAATCACATTTAAAGGTTTTGTGTCTTGTTTTGTTTTGCAGAGTGTTAACTTGCATATTATTTTGTGACTTGGAGGGGTTGAAACATTTTAGACTGACTGGACAGAGCTGAAACTTTCCATTCCTACTGACTCTCCTCAGGAAACTGTGACACCCACTGCCATACTTCTGCCAAAAGTTCCTTCTGTAACTTTGGTGCATAGACTTTGAAGCACTGTTGACCACATTGGCAGTTTGCCCAGAACCAAATGTCCTTTTATTTGCATAACAATTACCATTTATTTGCATACAGTATAGTCTGAACTGTTTTCCTGAATTTTAAGGAAAGAAAAATTTTTAAAACCTTTTTCCTTACCTCCATTTTTCTTGTCTGAGAGAGGATCATAGGTTTGTATTAACAGGCCTATCACCTTTGTATTGTTTCCTAGAATTCTCTGCGTATGTGGGATACAATTTCTTAGCTCCAACTTTGCCGGACCTCTGTTTGTTTCCCTCTTCTTTACCTTGCTTCTACTCACCTTAACTCCTCATTTCCTTCTTATTTTCACATCAGGTCCTGCTATCTTTTCTTCTCTCATCGATAACAATAGAAAGCATCATTAATTGTTTTCACTATGCCACATATCTGATGAGAAAAGCAGTTTAATGTTGTGTGTTGAGCAAATAGTAAATAAATGGGAATTCATGAAACCCAGAACTGCGTTTCTTTAAGAATATTTTAGCAACAGTTTGATAGTCCTCAGATAACCTTAGAGGTTCTAAAATGCAAATTCTGTCCTAGGAGGATTCAAAAAATTAGTTTTTCTTAATTTTTTTAAAGGGCATCTGTAATAGGTAAGCATTTATGTGGTTATGGTTCCCTCCCAAGTATTTTAAGTATGTGCAGTGTAAAGTCTCTCTTCTAGTTTATCTCCTGTCTGCCAAATTCACCAGCCACCCCAACTGAGCTTATATTTATTTTATGTATCTCTTTCTCAAGTAATTTTTTTGCATAGACATGCAAATATATAAATAGTCCTGTATGATGTATTTCCTTGTATAAAAAGTTAGCAAAACTATATACTGTATTCTAAACTTTGCTATTTTTAAACTTAGCAATAAATTGGACCTCTTTCCATATAAATTATAAACAGAGAGCTTTCTCACTATTATCAATGATAGTTAAATCATGTCTAATACATGACTTCTGTCCTGCGTATGTAAGAATTTGAAAATAGAAAACAAAGCTATGTTCACCCGAGCAGGGAATGCATAGGAAGACTTTCAAATACCAGTGTGAGAGAGGAGGGGGCAAAATCCTGAGATTTTTACTTAACTACTTTCCAAGATTTTATCAGTGAATTTACTCACATTGAGTCATGTTGTACTTTCCTACAACTAATGATAACAATTATTTTAATAAATTAATAGCCTTCTCAAGATTATTTAGGAAAAATTTTTTTTACAATTTCTGGTGACCATTGATTGCATTAAAAGGCATTATCTTTTTTTTTTTTTTTTTACAAATTAGTATTATGTTTTAAAAACGTTTCTTTTGTTTTGCCCTCTTTTTTTAAACTAGATTCTTACAATAAATGAGGATGGATCACTTGGTTTGAAAACCCCTAAATCTCACGTTTGTGAGCACTGCAATGCTGCCTTTAGAACGAACTATCACTTACAGAGACATGTCTTCATTCATACAGGTATTTCTTGAATTAGAATGGGCTTATGGCCATTAAAATCATTATCTATGCTATTTTCATCTTCGTGTAAATGTTATTCATTCCTAAGACTGTAGCTAACCTGGCATTTCAGATGAGAGATTTCGCAAACTAGAAGTCGTAAGGAAATCAGGAAAAACTTTTTAAGAGAGAAAACAATTGACATAAGTGTACAAAATTAGTATTAATTGGATATTGATTTGGCTTAATGAATTCTGTGTAGTGTGAGAAGTAAAGAATGTATCTTTAAAAGCCTTTGATTATTATTTTTCTATTTAAGATGCCCAGGTGGAAACAGAAATATGGATTTGGGAATCAAATATACAAAAAGATAGTTAAAATAATGAAATCATAGAGAACAGAACTAAAAATTAATGACGTATATTTGTGGAAATAGACTAGATCTATAGGTTGAATTAGGGTGGTTGGCAAGAAGCAGGAGAGGTAGAGAAATAAAGGTTTTCAATGAACTAGGGAAACAGAATCTCAGGAGGCAGAAATAGGAAAAATTATGAGGATATGATTAATAGTATCCAGCTTTCAGAGAGGATAGAGAGGGAGAGAACTGAGAAAACAGCAAGGAGATCATGAGTTGCTTTTAGGAAAACAAATCATAAGGGTTAAAGCACAAGTAGGTGGTGAAGAATTTGGGACATAGCTAGCTAGCTTCTCTATCAAGGTGTGGTAAAAAAGATGGAAGCTGCTGAGATTTCTGGAAACTTTCTTTGCTTAGAGCAGACCAAAGAATACTTCCCTTTAAGGGAAAGTCTCTAGCAAAGAGAAGATGTTTGGAGAGATAGAATTTAAAAAAGAAAATGTCTAGAGTGTTCTGATGGCTCCTTAGAAAATAACTGAAAGAGTGTAGCATGATGGTCAGCCATGGAGAAAGAACAGCATGGGTGGATCTTCTTTCAGACAAAATGGAAGAAACGTGTCACACATTTGTTAACCTGTGGAGTCCTTTTTAGCCTACTGAATTTAAAATCCTATTTTAAATTGCTTTATTTTCCTTTTTCCTCTATCGAAGGCTATAGATTGTATTTAATCTCATTTTTGTGTGATTGTGAGAATGAATTTTAAAATTTTGAAGAAAATACTTAGAGGAAATAAAATTCTGTTAATGAACAATTTAAAAACTTGTATGGATACTTTCAGAATTTTCCAGAATTTGAGCTTCTAAGGTTTACCTATCCTCATAAATAGTGACTATAAACTGTATCTTATCCAATAACTAATTTATGGATGTGAAATTATTTTAAGGCGAAAAACCATTTCAATGTAGTCAATGTGACATGCGTTTCATACAGAAGTACCTGCTACAGAGACATGAGAAGATTCATACTGGTGAGTGTTGCCATTTTTACTAGGGTCATTAAAATTGCCATTTCCACTATAAGGAAGAATTTTTAATAAGTAGCAACAACTGTTGCTACTTTCATCGGTTTGTTTTATGCTTTCTCATAGCTTTTTTTTTTTTCTCTTCAGTAAATCAGTGTTATCTATTAAGACTTGGCTTTAATGTCCAAGTTCAGTAAATTACTTTGAAATAGAGTTTTCATAATAACATAAAATGTGTGTTTAAAGTGACAAAGGGAAGTGAGTTTTGTTAACTGTTTTCTTTAAATGTTTAACAAGTTTAGAGTAAGTAAAGTTGTCATTCAAATTAATTAGCCTAGGGAGAGAATGAAAAATACCTTGAACTTTATGATATTACATGATTCCCTTTTTTCCCTCCTAATTTCATGTATGTAGCTTACTATATATATCAACAGAGATGTGATTTTAAAAAGTTGAAAAATTCCAGTTTTTCAGTCAAGTTGTTAATGATTTGGAGACAAATACTTCAGATCACTTTAAAGAACCCATACCTTAAAAAATTAAGTCTCATCTTAGGGCAAGTTTCTGTTCTACCTTTTGACAAATTTAAAAACAACTTTTATGTGTAACTTTGATTTAGTAAATTGTAAATTGTGATTGTTAAATGTATCTAAGCACAGTGAATGGTTTCTTTAGAATTTATTTTTAATTTTTTGCCTTTTTGTGATAGAATAATAGCAGAATTGGAGTGCTTGTATAGTTGGCTTTACATTTAAAGTTGAGGAAGATAATGAAAATCTTTGAATAATGAAAATACTACAGGACTTCATATTTCTTTATATAAGTACTCAAGCAAGTTACTTCCTGTGTGTTATTTTGATGTGTTTTCATGGTACCTGAAGTTATCTGTGAAAGGGGTTTCTTGGGCAGTTCATCTTACAACCTTTTCTGCCTGATAACTTTCGTTGTCCCTGACAAAGAAGCATGAATGTGACTGGTTTGCTTAAATAAAACTTCAACTGTGCAGCACATCTGTATACTTTGATGTCTTACTTTTCAAAGATCATTATGCACATCACACATTTCAGTTTCTTAAGCAAACATTTATTCATCATTTCTATCCAATAAATGAAGCCTGGTCAGATAATGATAAATACATTTTGTATGTTTTTAATTCAGTTAAACTTTTATGATTTTCTCATTCAGAAATTTACCAAACCTTCACTATTTCCCAGATACCAGGCATATAAAAGTATAAGACGTTTTCCTTAGAGTTTATATTGTAATGAGAGAGAAACATGTAAATAAGTACAGCATAGTAAATATTGTAAGGTTTTGTACAAAATGTTATGCCTTGAGGAAGAGCCAGATATACTCTTTTGATGATTATATAGGGTGGACAACATCGAAAAAAACTACAGGAGGTTCAGTTAAGATTATGCCTGTGTGTGTGTGTATGTGTATATACAACTAAAAATAGACTTTTGAAAGAATACGTAACCTTAATGTAGTCTGCTGTTTTATTTTGTAGCAAATTATTTTTTTAAAAGTGCTAATCATAATCCTGTCATTTCACTCTCTGGAAAAAAGGGTTACACTAGGCGAAGGCACATCTTGGATTAAAGTGGGGTATAATGGGTAGTTAATATTGATTCTGGTTACCAAGAACAGAGATTGTGCTACATGTTTTATTGAATATCGCATTTAGCCATCAAATTAATCTTGAAAACAATAAGCTGTTATTTTCATTGTATTTTAGATGAGAAAGTAAGATGCAAATAGAAGTTAAACTTTTTAAAATTTATATAGTATATGATGGATCCAAGATTCCAGCTCAAATCTCAGTGACTCCAGAGTTTACGTGTGAAATTACTAGCTGTAGAGTGGGGCTAAAAGCAAAATAATATCCTAGGACCGTTGAGTTTCTCTGTGATGCCAGTTACAACTTTGCTTTCCTATGCTGTATGCTTAGTAGTCATCTAAAAGAGGTGGGCACATAGAGCAGAGTTCTTACGTTATAGAGAATACTTTACAAGTAGGAATTGGAGATGCTAGGGCAAACCAAGTCACTAGGTTGGGAAACATTTCTTTTGAAGAGATCCTAATTTTGTCCCATTTCCCTTCATCCCCCTGGAGAAACTGACATTAGAGGAATTTGTTTTCTTGATTCTTTTTACTTTCTGAATACAGTGTTTTTGTATTTTAAGCAAGATACCTTAAGTTAAACTTACTACATATATGTTCATTTATTATTCTGACTCTTCTCTCTCTAATGTTTTGAATGACTTAACTTTTGGAGGGGACTATAGTACCCAAAAGTTTGCCTGTGCCAGGACTTTGTCTCTGTGTAGGGTCTTAGTTTAGAAGAATACACTGAAATGGCTATATGGAAGGTAAACAAATTTTATACATGTCTGTCCGTTTTAACATTTCAAGAATGAGTCACCTGTCAACTGATGCTCAGAGGTCTTAGGTGAGAAGAACTACCACTTCTTACAGATTGCATTTTTCTTAACAGCTCCCTTTAACTTGAGATCTAATCATATTGTCTCCCTCAGTTTTCTACCCCTTAGGCCCATTCTCTGGTCACTTGCAACATGGTTAAAAAAAATATTACCTGCTTGACAGTTCTTGCTACCAATAATGAAATCTTCTGTGTCTTAAAAAAAAAAATCTGGCCTGATTTGGTTTTCAAGTAGAAACATGTAAACTAATCCTGAATAGAAACTTAATCCTGTCTCCTGAATTTAGGCTAGCCTACAAAATACAATTTTAGGGGAGAGGACTTTTTCACCCAAAGACAGTTTCCCTGAAATTTTGGCTAACACTTATCCTTTATCCTAAAACATAGAAAACTCTCAAAATGCAAATATCCTCAAGACTGCTGTTTTTAGCAGTTATGGACCATTTAGATCTCATTGGGAGTGTATTATATACATCCTTAAGTTTATAACACACAGAGAAAGTAAGGACTTGAAGCCAAGGTCAAAGATAATAATTACCGATCATTTTGTTTAGGATCAGAATTATTGTTCAGTTATGTACCAAGGTTAAACATTCATTGTCATTGGTGGTAGATTACAGTGTTATCAGGGCTTTTTATATAAGGTTCCTTTTCTTTTGGTGGTTTTCAAATGCTATATACAGAATAAATGTTAGAATGACATAACCAGTTGCGTTCTTTTCTAGCCACTTTGTAAACACTGACTTTTTTTTTTATTAAAAAGTTTATTTTTACATCATTTTGCACA